TACCGAGAACGAGAAGAAGACTGAACGCGTTTTGAGTTATTTGAGTGAAATTCACCGAAATGGACAATCCAGATTTCATGAGTCCTGAAAGTATGCATAGTGTGCAGACTAGACGCTCCGATTTGCCAATTTGTATATATTAAACAAAGAAGTTATCCTAACGATTAGTCGAGGCTGACTGGTCTCAGAATATCTCCCTGAGATGCAAATGAGTACAGTGTGGNGAGTACCGAATACGCGCATCCGAAACGGGGCGAGAACCACGAAATCGATCGTACGATTCCGTACGATTTTGTTTAGTTATTACCTACTACTTCCTATAAAAGTTTTCTTCGTGTCAGGGAAAATGTGAGTTTCCTGATAATTCTTTCTAATTCAAAGAAAAATGGGTATGGATTATCTCTGGAATTCATCATTAGTATTATTTTCATTCCTAGTATATATAGTTAAAATTGATTTCCTCGAATTTTTGAACGGGAATTGCGGTTAATCCTATGGAACAGTTCGTTACAGACAGGATACAATGATAAATAGTGGCAAAACTACGTTTCCATCTGGTACAGGCTAGCATTAGTTCAAACGTTTAATAACCGAGATCCTAAAAAGACATGAAATGTAGGGGGCTATCCGTCACTGCCTAACAGGGAAAACGGCATAGTTACAGAGGGGTTTTTCAGTTGTATGGGTAGAAGAGCTCGTAGATAATGGGGAATGGCCATCACTTGTGGGAATAACAGCAAAAAACCATAGACAACGGAGAGACCTCTGTATCAACTTAAATTTACTATTATAACCAGGACATTAATCGTACGTCCGCATAGTTTAGCGGTCCTGATAAGTCGTTTTCGCAATACAGTTCGAGTATAACTTACAGTAAACAGGAGATTATCGTACCGTAATTTGTTCGGCACACAGTCTGACCTCAGATGAGTGTGAAATATAATATACAGGCCGTAAGTGACACGCAGTGAAAGTGTAACGAAACATAAACCGTGGAAATGTGGGATTTTTATTTAGCAGAGGTTGTAAGCCACATCTATAATCCGTAATTAATTCTGATGGGTGGACAAAGATTTCACCCTGCTAAAAGTGACACTAATTTGTGTTCCCAACGCAGGGTAATTCCCAGTAAATCTAAGTGGGACAGTAGACAAGAGCTCCAAAAGTGCATAAATGATTTGAGCGAACAAAAACACTTTTACAGAGGGAAGAGATTAATAAAAACGCAAAAATGCAAAATGTGTGAATACCTTTGCCTCCGAATTTGACAAGCATGTTGGCATTGGCAAAGTGTTCGGCGCCAAACAGGACGAGGAGCACGATGGAGCACGACCAGATCGAGCATCACTATTCGAATTGTCCCCATGTGGTGCACTATCCCGTTGTGATAGTACACGGGCAACAACTGTCAACGCAGGGGAAAATGAATACAACAATCAAACTTCGGATAATCGGATTCAGTCAATGGAAATAATCCATTCTGGTTTTTACTAGTCACATTACCATTAATATTGAGAGTGTGCCTTATAGACCTACCAAGATGATGCACAGTACTGGGATTTAGCTAACAGTTCTGTTGCTTGTATTGTAAATAAGATGTGACGTGAAAGCTAGCTGTGAAACTGATAGTAAATAGGGAAATGTGTTCGTTCTATGCACTTCTTCAGCTGTTGTTGGATGGAAAAGTCAGAGTGCAGACAATCAAGAGACACGGATGTCCGATATATGTAGTGTTGAACTTTCTCATCGAGAAATTTAGATAAAAATGCAATTTTATCACAAGCAGCGGCTAACTTCAGTTGTTATTATTCTTAAAGCCTCAGTACGTTTGGGAGTGAGTGGCTTGAGTTATGACTGGTCAGCTTTTCTATCTATCTCGTAAACTGCTGTAAAACCACCAGGGTCTCAAACAGAATCTAAGGAGGAAGCCATACTCGCCGCCCTCGGATGGCAGTTTTTCACTACCTAAATGCGAGGATCAAAATCCAAGATACTGTCTACAACCTGATACTGGGCACCTGGCCCTGTTTTACCCAATAACTGGATATTCAGCACCACTGAACTGCGGAACGTGAGGTCCATCTTAGTGCCTTTCAGGTCCGACTTTTCGTTGAAGACCTTAAGCCAAGACCCAGGTTAGCCCACTTCTTCGACTGGGAGTAACCGGAATGCAACGTGCACTAACAAACTAAGGATATCAGGTGTGTTTTTGCAATTTGCCTATTTTGTACATGTGGTTGAGAGTTACATATTGAAGTATAAATACTCTGAAAGCTGCACTCAAATTCTTTCGATCACGCGGATAGTTGAAACACTGATATCAGCAATAAACCATTTACCCAATTCATGTTAGTTAGCTACCTCTCCTGCTCTATATCCGCATTAGTTACGGAGCGCCTGCTTCGTCCCTCCTTTTCCTGAAAGGTAATCACATAACTGTAGTCGACAAAAAAGAATTAAGACAAATATTTATTATGACGATTTTTTATTATTACACACTTTCGTGTGATGAACAGCAGACGAGGAAAGCCCCATAGTCATGAGGACCCGTTGTTCAGTGATTGAAACTGGTAACCTAAGCCCCGGGGCTTGGATTGGTGAACCACATAAGGCCCCGATAGGTTAGGTGTGGTATTGAACCGGACGACAGCACAGTTAACTTATCATCATCACTGCTACTAACATTATTAATGTCCCTTTGCAAATCCGAACATATGAGCTTACTAATTACAACGAATATCTTAGATTGGGACAGCACATCACTCTATTAACGTACGTACAATCGTAACATGTTTTACGCCCAGTAACTCAGCCAAAATATAAACTAATTAAGTATTCAGGGTATGAGAAGGGAGAATGCAGCTGCTCTGAGTTTAGTGCAAAGCCTGTACTACAGCTCTCACAGCACCCTTAAAAAACACGAATTTTGTTTCTTATTCGTTTTTCCTTTCTTAAGTTGGCCAAATAATACCGCGAGAAAAAACGGTGGGATATCGTTAAACAATTGGAGGGAGCTATCAAGCACGGATACTATAAATCCGTTGAAAAACAAACAAAAAACTGAAAGCTATTTCTAACGCTGCTCATCCTGAAATTCGAAAAGTCTAATCAGCATTGATATACTTAGTAGTGATGGAAATTGCCTCTTATCTAGGAATCGATCCCAAAGTGTTCTACTCTTCGAATCCAAGACATTTAAAGTCATTCAGTAACTGCGCATCAACTCTAACCCGAAAAAGATGGCGACATGATAGAAAACCGACAGAGGTGACCAGAACGAAACTCAGTCGGTGTAAATCTACAACAGTTAAGGAGGAAACATCTGCATCATCATGATTATCATCATCATCATCACTATAGTGCAACGAAATATAGCGAGGCAAACTGCACTGATCGTGGCAAAACATCTGCAGAAGATACAAGCAAATGACCGACGTACATAGTCAAGCTTGCTCACACGCAGTTTCGTAGCACATTTGCACTGCACAGCCTGTGTTGAACTGTATCGCTTAATAATCCTAAAGCAACATGGTAGAGTAACTGGGTATTTATGAGCGCCATTGTGTCACTGCACAGAAAAAACCAAGCCGATTACGGTTGTTTCACACCTCGCTAATAATGATGAAGTAGCTCGTTGCTTGCCCCTAGCGTGATCGCGGAATAGGGATACTTCGTGGTAAGAAACCGCAAAAAACTCACTCTCTTGAAAGACAGGTTCGACATTCAAACCATAAACTGCGCATGTCTCATAATAAGGACACCAATTCATGGAATTCAATAGGTGCCGTACATGCAGCTCAATGGCCGGGGCAGAGGGACCGGTGACTAAGGCATCTGAAAAATGGATAGAAAAATTACGAAAGTCTATGATTAATGTATTAATTTAATTCACCGTGCAATGTGAAGCCAATTGTCTGTCTTAGTGATATTAAAAACTAGCGCAATTATTTGCACTGGTACTAATACCATTTGACTACTTTGGAACAAGCACATTAAGGTCCCGGAAGCAGACAGCTGCGCTACTCTTGCCTGGGCAACCTGGCAGTAATCAGCCCACAAACCGATCATGGAAGGTTTCTTCTTTTTATAAAGATTTTTGTACCATGATTTGCCTGGCACAGGGTCTGTCCTCAGACAAGTATGATATATACATATATATTCAGAATGTTGTGTTTGGGTTAGTCCCTTCGCTTTGTACAGTCAACAAGCACTGTGGTTAGACGTGGGTATGAGTTTTAGTCTTTAGGGTGTCGTCTTTCAAAGAAATTTAAAACGTAGAGTATAAGAGAAATTCCATGCAAGGAAACTCATAAATACGAAACGCGGTGCTGCTGCGCTAACCCAAACAACCGAATATAACCCTTTACTGAATATGCTAATTGTCGATCACGTAGAACAGGGGTACGGATTTTGACTCATGACCGAAGGTTCGAGTGGCTCAAGTTTCTATAGGGTCATCAAATGTAGGCAGAACTAATGTGTTCCAACAAGGATGAAACAGCTACACAGTGATCTTTGTCAAAAATAATTTCATCGCAAATGGAAATCCGAATGACTATACACTATTCCAATCAACGCCACATAATGAAGCACATCACCCTTCAAAAGCAGATATGTGAGTTTCCGTAAGATCAACTAATCTTATCAAGCTGTCATTAGTGAAACAAACGCTTTCCTTAGTGAACGTACTTCTGAGCATTTAAGAAAAGCTTCTTAAAGACAGAACTGGGCACACGGGAATGGACATTTATCTAAGCACTAAAGCCCGTCTAAAAAGTGCTTGCTTTCATCTGAATTTCGATTCGAAATTAACACGAACGGCATAACAGAACGCAATTGAAAAGCATATAGTTTTAGCGGAAGTTTCAGTCCATTTGGCGGAGGTGTATTGATATGAGCAATTGGTAGCCAGGGGAAAATAAAACAGACGTTTCAAAAAATATTTCATTTGTAGCAGAAATGTAGCGTAGAAAACTCAACCCGGTGCGGCTGAAAAAATACACAAGGTAAACAAACGCATGTTATGCAGGTCGATCTGACTTAGGTAAAAAACGGACCAACACAGAGTTTAACCTCGTAAAAATGGTCAGACTTATCAACGATCAGTCACCCAGTGAGAGGATTTTCCAGAAACACGCCAGTCAATGACCACCAAGAACAGTCTTCTAAACTGGAGCTAACAGAGCGAACAGAATGGGGTAGAACAGAGAATACCCTAATCATTCATACGTTCAGGAAACACTTTTTAACACGCGAAAGCTACCCTAATTCATACAATCATCGACAGTTTAAAGGTTATCGAAGCCATGAGTTTCAGCAGCAATTTTTGTGGGTCGAAATTACCGCTTTGTAACAGTATGCTAGACCAACCAACATTCGTAAAGACTCAATTAAAGGCATAGCGCTCTAGGCTTTGTTATCGCAAGTCATCCACAACTGTCCAGAAAGAAAAATCCACCGACTAAAGTCATGAACATGAACATCGGGCTCAGAAACAAAAGACCATAGACAGTCCTGTAAAAGGCTTTCTGTGCATCGAGGTTGAGAAGTGTATGACAGAACAAGTGACAGATCTCTCGTAACCAAACAGTTTGAAAAGGGAGAACTGTTTAACGCCACTCAGAGGAATGCTCCTCTAAAGGTGGAGACGGGTGAACCCGCACAATCAAGTGAATTAGAAACCCCTACTTTTAGCAGGTGGTGTGATATAAATTTAGTCCTTGATTGAGAACTCGAAACCGTGCATGCCTCCGTGACCCTGCTCACTACGCAGGATGGAATTTTACAGCTAAAAATCTAATCATGCTTGAAATTTCAATAAAAAGAGGCCTATATATAACACCAATTTTTACGGATATATCGTAAAAATAACCATGAGTTGAAAGAGAATTACAGAAACAGAATAAGGGAGAAAATAGAAACAGCTAATTATGAGGATGTCAACTTCGTTTGTTTGTTCACCGCAGGCCAATTTGACTCGTGTTTGTCTGTTTTACTTTTGGAATTGGGTACAAAAAAGGATGCATTCATGCCACTGACTTCAGTTCGATGCCATATCCTGCAGTGTCTTCAGACTATCTGAATCTTTGGGGACCCAGTCGTGGAGCCGAGAAACCCCGACAGAAACCAAATCCGGGAGCAATCTCTTCGATCCTCTACGCTACGCCATAGCCTGCCCACCTTGTTGTTCCTTCCAGCCCGGATCAGTGTCTGCAAATAACGCAAGGTACGACAGACGTTGTTCAGGTATCTGTAGGACGTGCCATAGCCACCTCAGACGATGCAGTAAAATTGTTCTGCTCCGTGGAAGAGTGTGTCACCCTAACACACGTTGTCTGACCTCAAGCGATGTTGCGCATACGATTATTGTAGAAGAGGGAAAGTCGTTGTACACGATCTGCTCAGAGGGGCCAAGTTTCGCAGCCATAGAGCAACAGGATGCGTACCGCATTTTTCTATTACACACAGTGTGGTCAACAACAAACAGGGAAATCCCCATGGTCATGAGGATCTGCTACCCAGTTGTGGAAACCGGTAACCTAAGCCCCCAGAACTTGAAGTGGCGAATCACATTAGGCCCCGTTAAGTAAGGCGCGGTATTGAACTGGACGACAGCAAAGCTGTCTACCACCAAAATTGGGTGGCGGTGGAGGGGCTCGAACCTCGGTCCATAAGGTACAAGGAACGGTGATAACAGCGATTAAACCATTGCGCAACACACACGCCTTTTCACTGAAAGGGATATGTCGCACCAACGCCTAAGATGCCACAGATTAGTAAACGCCAATTTACCCTAGCCCACATCTCCATCAGCCGTTATACAACTCGACTAGTTACAGAGTAGTTACACATAAAAGTGCAGGAACAGGTTCCTGCTAATATTGCAACAACATCTCGTACTCTGAAGGTACAAAGGACATACTGTAACGAGTAACCTGAGTGGCCAAACGATTTAGTGACTCGTGAATCGTCGGTGCGTTGTCACCGAGTAAGGCAATATCATAGGCATACTCTAGTTCTACGAAGAGGCTCGACTCCAGCGTTCGTTACTTTGTTTACGCCTTTTGTAGAACATTATTTATGAAAAAGAGAAACGGAGAGAGGGGGAAATTCTGTCGTATCCCGTTGGTGACAGGAAAAGAGGGTGACAGTTAACCATAGACCACAACCTTTCGCGAGATTTGACGATAGTTATCTCAAAAGCAGGATACAATTCTCGGGTATTCTCTATCTTGGAAAACAGCTCCACAGTGAAAGGCGGTCGATGGAGTCGAAGGTCGCTCTGATTTCTGAAAACACAACCATAGTTTGTCGTCCGTATGCGTGGCGGTGTTTTAAAAGCTAACGAAGGGTGAAGATTTGACCTATGCCACCACAGCTTGCATCAAGTCGGGCCTTCTCTTCGCAGATTTGTCTTTCGCGAAATGGGCTCGTTCTGCGTGACAAAACGGATGCTAACAGCTTTGGCACTATAGGAATCAGACTTATGCCCGTGATTGAAACGGGGGTTGCGACATCTGTTCTTGTCGATGGGTATAGCAATCGATTCTCCATCTGTATAGAGTACAGTCTCGTTCTTCAAAAACAGTCTGGCAAACCCTCTCACGAGAGCCTGTTCACCATGTTTAAAGAGGGCCGGTAGCAGGTTGTCTGATCCAGACGCCTTATGGCGTTTCAGGCCTTGGAGTTTTTTTTTGATCTCCGCTTCTGTGGGTGGTTCCGTGGATAGTGATCAGGATGACCTTTCAAGAGAACTACTTGGAGCAGCCAGTGCAGAAGGCTGGTTGAAATGCGATGTGAAGTGCCCTGCCCAGCAATCCAAGCGTAGGTGCAGACTGTGTGTTAGCGTGCCACCTACTTCGAACTGTCTTTTGGGACCAGTATTACGGATAAGCTGGAACAGTTGCCGAGTGCTTCCACACCTAGCTGCTGATTCCGTCTCCTTTGCAGGTAGCGTCCACCAGGCTTCTCGGTCGTCTCCCAAGCTCTTTATGAGTTCACCCTCCGCAGAGAGGTGCTGTCCATTGCACTCGCTTTCTGCTGGGATTGTCCGACTTGCGTCAAGAAGTCTGAGAATGTTGGAGAGGACCCACCTTCAAAACTCGACGGGTTAGGCCACATCTGTGTAAATTAGCTGAGTACATTGCGTTTTGAATGGTTGTCCAATATTGATCTACGCATATTGGTGGGGTAGTTGTAAGTCTTGCGGCCAACGCGTTTTGGCAGTCGGCCAGCACGACCGGGTCGGAAAGCTTAGAGATGTCAAGCGGATTGCATCTCATTTTCTGCGACCACCAAATTGCATAGACAACTTGACATATACAAATAGAATAGCAGTGCCCTCCTCTGAGCATATGCGAATAAGTCTATCCCCATTATCTTAACGACAGCTATCAAGGCCTTGATCGTCACCAAGATAGGTCTTATCGGGTGATAGACGGTCAATGCGTGCGTGTAGGTCTCGGTTAGAATTACGATATCCGTCTTAGGTGCTTTGAGAAGAAGCTCGTGTAAGCTGTGATAGAAGGCATCTTTGACTGTATCCGGACGATAGCCTGTGGGAGAATATGTAGAAACCACTTATAAGCGCCCCTCGTTTATTTCTGTTTAGTGACTTTACTTGAGCCTCGAAGTCTCGCTGCGCACAGACGGTTGTCCACCGGGACCCAATTCAATACAGCCTCGGCCCTGGCGCTGAAGGCAATATTAACGCCTGCTTGACCAGACGCCCATGCGGCAGGGTCCCAGGAAACGCGCAAATGAAACGCTTCTCTCGGATTGGAAGGATTGCCAATCGGATTATTGGGCTCGGATTCTGAATGTGTTTCCGAGAGACAACACACATCAACCTCTATACTTCCGTATATACGAGCCAAACCTATTTGTTTTTCTAATACGCATTACGGTTCTCACGTTGAACGAAGAAAGTTTGAACGCAGAGTGAGGTCGGAGGAATGAAACGGTAGGCTCCGAGTGACACAGTATGGCTGAGACAGATGTCGAGAAGGATAACGGCGGGCTACATCATGAACCTACATCAGTGGAACCAAACATACATACAGTGGAAAGTGGGGGGTTGTGTGGTAGATGAGTGGAAAGAGTTCAGCCTGACAATACCAGCTGATTTGGTAGCCTCCTATGACCATCCACTTTTGTCCCTGCATAGTTCGTTGTATCAAATCAACACTGGTTAGCAATTCATCGGGCAGAATCCCGTTAGATGAACATTGGACAGCTTACCTTGGACTTCCTCTGCTGATACGAGGAATTACGGTTTTCATGGGATTATCGCAACGGTTGGTGATGATAACCCATATTAATTAATCTTAGTAAAGTGGAATATATCACGTGGAGAGTATGATGAAGCAAATGAATGAGGAAGAAAAGTTTGATAGTCATACTAAACTGACTTTCGGTGTCCTTGGTATTTCGGTAACTAACCTTGTGTAGCAATCAGCATTGTGGGAATGTCCAGCTTATCACGTAACCCACAAAACATTGTATAATATTCGCTTGCGATTCTTACTGATTCCGCGTCTGCCAGACTTACAACGACGACAAGCGCATCAGCCCAACTGGCCAGCTGAATATCAGGTGCACCGGCCTCATCACGAATAAGTAGAAGTTGGGGCTGCGAATGACTGAAGTACAGCTTTTTAAACCGACCACCTAGGCAATAAAATGTGAAAGGCAGTTAGCAGTTTGAAATTAAAATAAACTAACTACAGTTGGTCATACTAAACAGGAAATTCGTTCCCTATTTGTCGTTATAAGCATACAGAGTGGAATCTTTCTTGTTTTTCGTGAAGAGAAAACCAGTGAAACTCACATTTTGAAATAATCGTCAACAAAATTTTATTTTAGATGCTTACTGAGCGACGGTATCAGTGGAGATCCAGAATTTGCCGTAGTAATGCAGTAAGCGACAGAAACTGCTTTTCTCATGCATTTCTGTTTTAGGATTTTACAAAGGGTTGAGTTTACGCTGCGACGATTTGGGCAGCACTATTTTATGAAGCTAAGAAGTAGTCTTAGCAAGGGTGTGATGGAATAATCAAACCAGTAATGGCGACATTAGGACCAGCGTAATAACAGGTCAAACTCGGGCACTGACACAAGTATTTGTCTTCCACAAACCAAAAAAGATGGACAGCGCTGTAATTTTTCAGGTAAACCTAGTAGACAACCAAACTGGATTAAGGAATGTGATCTCTGGAGAGATTAACCAGATAGAATGACCATCTAACGATGACTTATGAAAGCCTCACTGCTCATATTGTGTTATGTTTTCTGATTATCATCAGACAGTAGTAACCGGAGCTTCTGGTAAAACTGACCCTTAAGACCTCGAATATGCGAATGACTTGTTAAAAAGTCAACATCAAAATCCAAAATGTTAGAATCAATGACACTAATAGTATATATTATATGAGCGGAATCTCGTATGAACCTCTGTGTCGGGAGTAAAGCGACCCTAAAAATGAAACTTAAAAGTAAGGTAGTAAGTAAGGTTACAATGGAAAAATAGGTTAGTGCCCTCGTTGAAAGTAAAATTACTAAATGACAAAATAATCGAGAAAGTAAATGATGAAATATAACTAAGGGCATCCTCGAAATAGGAAGTTCCGGGAGGAAAAACGAATTTACTGGATTACTTGAATGTGCTTTCGTTGCAGTGAATCTTCTACGTTAATAGTCGAGCTCCGTGAATGATGTTAATTCGTAAGAACAAACTTCACCAATGGCACCATGCCACACATTTTTACAACTGCGCACATGCAGTAGTTCACGGCTCTTGGTGTTCAATACACAAACAGGTGGTTGGGATGGTCAAACTCAGAAGATTCCACGCGTGAAATTGGTCAATCAATCTGAAGAACACAGTCTACGAACGTACATGTAGGCCCTCCACGTTCTAAAAGCTGAAGTGAAAGTTAGTTTCGTAAACGTAACGCTCTCTTCGTTCGTCTGATGTCTCGTAAGTATTTAACATCATGAAATCAATTTGTCTAT